ACGATCCTCTAAACCCAAACACATAGTCAAACAATCGATCTCTGTGAAGTCTTCGATCATGGAGCTTGCGGAAACCTATGCCTGTGTTCCGTCGACGGAGAGAGGTCGGGGAATCCTGATCTCCGGTGACTCGAAATCCGATACCATCCTCTACACTAATGGTCGATCCGTCGTGATTCTCGACCTTAACAATCCGTTAAAGGTGTCTATCTATGGCGAGCATGCTTACCCAGCTACTGTGGCGAGATACTCCCCGAACGGCGAGTGGATCGCGTCCGGTGATGTGTCGGGGACTGTAAGAATCTGGGGGACTCATAACGATCATGTACTGAAGAAGGAGTTTAAGGTTTTGGCTGGTCGGATCGATGATCTTCAGTGGTCTGCTGATGGGATGAGGATCGTTGCTTCCGGTGATGGGAAAGGGAAATCTCTCGTTCGTGCTTTCATGTGAGTAGTATTTGCAAACGGATTTGTTCTTAGATGAACTTGATTTTTCATGGTTTTGGGATTTTCTCTGTCTACTTAGTTGTGAAATGAGAGAAATGGCTCAATGAAGTAAAATTGGGTTTTCTCCAGTGATTTTGCTCATATAAAAATCTGTGATTTTGGTATGAAATGTGTGGAATTGTATTGAGCTAAGCTGTTCCGATCTAGGTGATTCGCATTTGATCGAACTTTTTTCCGTTGACTTCGATCGATCAGACTAAGACTTTGTTTTTCTGCTGGTATTGTATAGGTGGGATTCAGGATCAAATGTGGGAGAGTTTGATGGACACTCCAGGCGGGTTCTCAGCTGCGCTTTCAAGCCAACCAGACCGTTTCGCATTGTGACTTGCGGGGAAGATTTTCTGGTGAATTTCTACGAAGGTCCTCCTTTCAAGTTCAAGCTCTCAAGCAGGTCAGATATTCAAAACACATGCTCCTTTTCTTTAAAGAAAGAAGATACTTTGTGTATCTGCTCGATTCCCTGCTTGTGTGTTTACGAGTTTGTTGTTTGTTGGTGGACAGAGAGCATTCCAACTTTGTCAACTGTGTGAGGTTTGCACCAGATGGAAGTAAGTTCATTACTGTAAGTTCAGATAAAAAGGGAATCATATATGATGGAAAGACTTGTGAGAAACTGGGGGAACTCTCATCTGACGATGGCCATAAAGGTAGCATGTACGCGGTTAGCTGGAGTCCCGATGGTAAACAGGTAATAAGTTATGTCTGTTTGTTGTACTGTATTCTCAATTCTTATCTGATTCCGCCATAATAGACTGAAACTAAATCAGGCTTGAACAGGATCTAGTAGCATAGCATATGAAATTAATTGGTCTACCCTACTGCAGTCTGTAGATACATGAGCTATATAACTGTGGCCTAGAATTTGGCTGTTTATTTGATAACAAATGAGATATTATATATATTTCAAATCTTGATTACGGTATGGTTGATGCTGCGTCTGTACTCACATGTTGTATATGTTTGAATCATCAATCAGGTCCTCACTGTATCTGCAGACAAGTCAGCTAAAGTATGGGAAATCTCGGATAATGGCAACGGAACATTGATGACCACATTGAATTGTCCTGGATCATCAGGTGGAGTGGACGATATGCTTGTCGGGTGTCTGTGGCAGAACGATCATATTGTCACTGTTTCTCTAGGTGGTACAATCAGCATATTCTCAGCAAGCGATCTTGAAAAATCCCCCTTTCAGGTGTCGGGACATATGAAGAACATCTCTTCCTTATCTGTGCTAAAAGGAAATGCTGACTACATACTATCCGGTAGCTATGATGGTCTGATATGTAAATGGATGCTAGGCCGTGGTTTTTGCGGTAAATTGCAGCGGAAACAAAACTCTCAAATAAAGTGCTTTGCTGCTCATGAAGAAGAGATCGTGACCTCTGGATTTGACAATAAGGTAAATTGGTTTTCACATTTAGGACTTGTCTGCGATAATCGCTTTTTGGTGTCTAGGGGAATGTAAGGAAGAACAAGCGATTGAGGTTTTTATTTTCTGGAACATTAACAATGCTGATCTTGGTCCATATTCCCGTTATTTCTTCAGTTGACTACTCCATATTCACTGTTTCAGTGAATTTCACTTAATATGGATATTCACATTGCTTGTATGGTCTCTTAAGCTTGCTCACATTTTGGCAGAATATGCCAATACTCCTGTGACTAAGAGAGTTTAGGGGAGCCGTCACTGAAGGCCAAACGGTCTTTACTGTGTGGGACTAGCAATTTCTAATATTTTTATTTTGTAGCTGATGTAATTACTTATTTAGAATTTGCTATAAGCATGGTAATTGGTGAATGAAGCGACTAACTCACGTTCTTTCACTCTTGATACTTATCCAGATATCCAGAATTTCTTATAATGACGATCAATGTACAAACGAAGAGTCTATCGACATTGGAAGTCAACCAACAGATCTAAGCCTTGCACCACTGTCACCTGATCTTCTCCTGGCGACCTTTGAATCAGGAGTTGTGTTTCTCCGTGGTGACAAAGTAGTGTCAACCACCAACCTTGGGTTCACTGTCACTGCTTTGGCGGTAACGCCTGATGGAACTGAAGCCATCATCGGAGGCCAAGACGGTAAACTCCACTTGTATTCTATTAATGGCGACTCCCTCACCGAGGAAGCAGTTCTTGAGAAACACAGAGGCGCCATCAGCGTCATACGATACTCTCCAGATTTCTCCATGTTTGCATCAGCTGATTTGAACAGAGAAGCAGTTGTATGGGACAGAGTCTCCAGAGAGGTAACTTGATTGTTTAAGAATAATATTAGAACCTGTCCATGAATCTCCCATACAAACACTGATGTTATATTGTCTCTTTTTTAAACAGATAAAACTGAAGAACATGTTGTACCATAGCGCCCGCATAAACTGCTTAGCCTGGTCTCCAAACAGCACTATGGTTGCTACAGGATCCTTAGACACATGTGTGATTGTATATGAAGTGGACAAACCTGCTTCGACACGCATGACCATAAAAGGAGCTCACTTAGGTGGAGTTTATGGTCTGGGTTTTGCTGATGATTCCCATGTTGTGAGTTCTGGTGAAGATGCTTGTATCCGGGTTTGGAGCTTAACTCCGCAATAAGACATGAGGTAAATTATAAAGATAATCTCTGAAAACTCCGTCTTGTCTCATTGGAAAAGCTTCGTACTGGTTTTGAGGATTGTATCGAGGCGTTGGATCTTTGGTTTGGTCGTTGCTGTGTTGTGTGTGTGAATCATTTGTATTGTGAAGATGATGCTCTGGTTTTTTTTTGTTGTTATGTTTCTGAAAATGAGATCATGGGACAGATTTTTCTTTCATTATCAAAGTACTGGTACAGAGAATGGGACTTGGGATTGGCATTTGTACTTTCTCTAATGATTTTTGAATGATTTTGGGCTCTATGATATTTGAGCATGTCTTACCAAAATTGGTATATTCTCAGACGTCCCAAACACAATTTACCTATTATGAGAGAGACTATTGTGCATTTGCCAAATAGCATAGATTTTTTTCTTTTTGAAGTTCAAATGGTTTATACAACTTCGTTAACCATTCAATTACATAAATAATGAACCTCAATTATTTGTATATTCATGTTTTTGTTTTAAAGCGCTTATAATTAAAGCTCCTTGATCCACTCCAAACTTAAAAACACTACAAAACTCGTTCACATCTTGTCTCTCTTTTTGGCTTCTCACGTTCTCATGTTTCTTTTTCTCCTCCTCCTCTCTGCTTCCCGCTCCGGCGAAGATTCGCCGTCCGGAGACGGCATTCCATTGGACACCGGCGATCTCAGCAGAAAAAGTTTCCCGGATGGATTCTTGTTCGGAACCGCCACGTCAGCATATCAGGTCGAAGGCGAGACGCACCAAGACGGTCGTGGCCCAAGCATTTGGGATGCATTCGTCAAGATCCCTGGTTAATAATTTCATCATCGTTTGAACAATTTTAAGCACAAAACTCGGTTAATTGGTGAATTAATCATTTCAATGTTTTTTCTCCATTAAAACAAAAAACTCAGGGAAGATTGCTAATAATGCCACGGCTGAGATAACAGTAGATCAATATCACCGTTACAAGGTACTCACTACTCTACTACTAATCTTTAATTTACCGAATCAAAAGGAGAGTGTTACATTTTAATTTACAAGTTTGTTCAATATTCATGATCATTTCTCATTTCAGGAAGATGTAGATTTGATGCAGACACTGAACTTCGATGCTTACAGATTTTCCATCTCATGGTCCAGAATATTCCCTGGTATTATTACTCTAGACTCGAATATGTAAAAATAATCACATTGCTTGTATTGTAGATTAAGATTAGATTTCAACTTCAAGCTTATGAACACAGAGGGAACTGGTAAAATCAACTGGAAAGGAGTTGCTTATTACAATAGATTGATCGGTTACTTGATCCAAAAAGGTATAAATATTCATAATACATTCATAGACACTTTGATTTGGTTATAATTTTTTGTTTTCGATGAATATGATTTAATGCTTAGGGATTACACCGTATGCGAATCTGTACCATTACGATCTTCCTTTGGCCTTGGAACAAAAGTATCAAGGCTTGCTTAGTAAACAACTAGTGTAAGCTGCACCAACCTGTAATTATCTTCATTGTATCTTCCTCAAAAGTTTTAGTCTTTTGATATAATGAGGCAATTTTTACAGGGAAGATTTTGCCGACTACGCAGAGTTTTGTTTCAAGACATTTGGAGATAGAGTGAAGAACTGGATGACGTTTAATGAGCCGCGTGTGGTAGCTGCTTTAGGTTATGATAATGGCATTTTTGCTCCGAGTAGATGCTCCAAAGCCTTTGGAAACTGCACTGAAGGAAACTCTGCGACCGAACCATACATTGTTGCCCATCATCTTATCTTGGCACACGCATCAGCGGTCCAAAGATACCGCCAAAATTATCAGGTATATTTTAACTTTATAGGTTCCTTCAAGTTGTTTGTATGATCTTAGATATATGTGATGACTACAGATCGAACCGATAAATTCTCAGGAGAAACAAAAGGGTAGGATTGGGATTCTTCTTGACTTTGTTTGGTTTGAGCCTCTTACGAGTAGTGAAGCAGACAATGACGCTGCTCAAAGAGCAAGAGACTTCCATGTCGGATGGTAAAGGTTCAAACTTTTGGAACCTTGTACCGTTGAAAATTTTGTGAGCTTAGAAAGAGATCCTTATTTATGGGTCATTTTCAAAGGTTCATTCACCCAATAGTATATGGAGAGTATCCAAAGACGATGCAGACCATCGTGAAAGAGAGGCTTCCAAGATTCACCGAGGAAGAAGTGAAAATGGTGAAAGGTTCCATAGATTTTGTGGGGATAAACCAGTACACGACCTATTTCATGTCAGATCCACATCTCACTACTCCACATAAGGACTTGGGTTATCAACAAGATTGGAACGTTGCTTTCAACTGTAAGTTCTTGTTACGAATGATCTTGTCTTGTATAGATGGGAACATATTACTGGTTAGGGTCCAATTGTTTCAAAAGCAAATATGTTAGTGTGACAAAAATCCTATAGACTTGGACCACATTTAAGTTTGGTTCATCGTTATGGGATTGGACTGTGACAATGTCAATGTGCAGCACATTATATAAATCAAGTGCATACTGAGAAATCTTAATCTATACTCATGCAGTTGCAAAGAATGGGACACCAATTGGTCCAAGGGTGAGATATATATGATTTCTTTTGGTTTTTGTTTAACTCTCTTTAATTGTTTGATTATGAATCAATCTAAATTTATGTAGGCACATTCGGAATGGCTATACAACGTACCATGGGGAATGTACAAGGCCTTGATGTACATTAAAGAACGTTATGGCAACCCGACAATGATTCTCTCCGAAAACGGTATTAACAATTAAATCCTGAATATCTTTCTTTGTTATATTTCCAAGGTTTATAGAAGAAATGTTTAGTGTCAAAGTTTGAATTATAATTAATCTTTATAGGTATGGATGATCCGGGCAACATTACTCTAGCTCAAGGACTAAATGACACAACGAGAACCAATTATTATAGAGACTACTTAACGCAGCTTAAAAAGGCGGTAGACGATGGAGCCAATCTAACTGGATATTTCGCGTGGTCGTTGCTAGATAATTTCGAATGGCTATCGGGATATACTTCAAGGTGCGTTTAANTAGCTAATGAATCTNTNTGATTGTTTNAGAGAAAATGTNANNNTNNTCNNANNNNTTTTTATTTCGTNTAGGTTTGGAATTGTGTACGTTGATTACAAGAACTTGAAGAGATACCCCAAGATGTCTGCTTTATGGTTTAGACAACTTTTGAAACGAGACCAAAAATGAGATCAGTGTGTCCAACCATGATTGGATTTTAATTTGAAAGGTTGAAACTGATTGTTGAAGAAACTATGGGGTCGTTTCTTAATCTTTGTTCTCTAATTTCTGAGGGACTCAGAGAGGTGGATGTGTAACTTGAGTTCTCCGTTTGACTTTTCAACACAAAAAATTTTCAGCAGCAAGAAATTTTGTTCTTATATACCTGAAGTCTTTTTTGAGCGAATTTTATTCTATGGAGTTATTGTTTGGTATAGAAAAAATTGAATTTTCTCATCATGCTCGACCTCAGTATACTTCTGGTTACAAAAAAATACCAAAGAGTTAATTGTTGTTCTTATGACTCTTTCTTGTTTCGTTCTTATGACTGTTTAAGAAACCTGTTATTGCATATTTATAAAATGTTCTTTTCGATTAATTTGATGAGTAGGAGAAGTTTTCGTAAAATTTTGAAAGTAAGACGTCATAAATAAATGTTTTTTCTTCCAAATAAACTTAACTTTATTAAAGAAAATGTGTTGAGGTTCTTTTAAAGGGTACCTAAATATTACATGCAAATGACAAAAAAGGGACTTCATAGTCTTACACTATCGACGTTATCATATATATCTAATATAATATTTTAAGGTTTTCTCAAAACCAAAGTCTAATTTTTTGACATTTAAATTTTTTATTTATTTATTAAAAAATAAAAATTAAATGTTTTTAATAACTTTATCAATTAGTTTTAATAATTTAATTGACAATATTTACGTAAATTAATTCTAACAAATTACATTTAACTGTCTTGTGC